TATCAAGGGTAGTATGTAAACAATAGAAACAACATAGCCCATAACTTTGAACCAATTTGGAGCAGTATGACTGCCAAAGCGATCGGGGGAGATAAACTCAAAAATTAAAAAATGATCACAGAGCCCATTTGATGTGGCCAGATCAATAGTGAAAATCTCAAAAAAGTAAGCAGTTTATTTCAAACTGTTTTCCAAGGGCGATCACATTTTGAACGATGTGCATCAAAAATTAAATTCAACTCTGAACCGCACATTCCCAGTTGCTAATCTATGACACATTGCCTTTACTTGTAGAATGTATTTGAACAAACGTACACATGGTTGGTAATCCAGTTCTGTCTAACACACTGTACTTCAGGTTACCTACAGTTGCGGTGGAGCATACATAGACAGAACCAACCCTGAAATTATCACAAAGATTGACCAAAGTGGTCGATGAAGTGGATGATGCAACCCACACTCAGAAATCGGGGGGTCACACGTAACCCGGGGTCGTCAATTGCAAAACGCCATGACAACCAAACACATAATTGAACTCGCCTCCTCTTTCAAACTGATGTTACGCAACTGCAATGCAAGACTGTTGCCAATGTGTGAGGAATTGCTAATTTGATTACATCGTCTCGTTCTATGCGCCCAAAAGTTATTGATCCAATCAGTTCACTTGCCATGATGTTAACCGCAAGTTTTAATTCTAATAGCCTCTGTCTATCTGTACATGTCCGTTCAGTAGGATCTACAAACCAAGCTTGACACTATAAACCGACCATTAAGTTCACTTGAGTGGTTTGGGTACAGGTTAACGGAATGGGGGAAGACAGAAAGTTAAGGGAACTCTTATGGAACAAATGCAGGCAATTGCAGATGAATACTGAATCAGAACCAGATAACCGTACCGGAATATACACAGGTAAGCAAATCACTCAAGGTTACCTCACTTTCCAGATCTAAAAAACTCCTGTAACGGAAATTCCGCGGAACAGATTCGTATACGGGGCTACTATAATGATTATTATTTATTTACTATTACTATTATTATTTATTATTATTTATTATTATTATTTATTATTATTATTATTTATTGACAGCTATGCTTACGACCGGTTGGTTGGAAGAGGAGGACGAACAACTAAGCGTTTCTAGGAGCGTGTTAACCATGAAAGACCGATGAAAATTCGGGTGATTTGAGTGCATCAACCAACCGTCAGGGATATGGATCATGGGTTTCGGTGCTAGAAGATAGATAGTTAGGACGGCCTGCGCTACATTCAGTGAGTCTTGCAGGTCTGGTTCAGATATGATCGAACTTTGAACCGATGACGCTCAACGCAAGGGACGAAAACCGCAAGAGAACGAGTCCCGGAATTTGTGTTCCGAGTATACGATCAATCTCTTATTGGAAGCTAGTCGAATGACGAGACATTGTAACTCAGCAAACCGGGAGTAATTTCTTCGGCATAACATTCGATAAAGTAAATTTAGACCAGGAGAGAGGCTTTTTTGATACGATTCACGAAACAAAAAATGGCTTATATTGTTTAGATTGGAATACAGTACAACTTCACCGCACTGCTCGACCCTAGATCAGAACGCAATCAAAGGACTCACTCATTTCTTGTTACAACATGTGACTCGTGTTGATTGTGAACTACTGTGCTTGCTCCGATTGAACCGATTATCGATTGGGTTAGATGCAGCTAGACTGGGGATCGAACCTGGGACCTCACAGGTAGAACGCCAGCATAATAACCAGATAGCTGATGTGATTGTTCTTCATGCCCCTCCGCCTTGTTTCCCAAATACACTATAATATATCCTGTATATTCAAAACGAAAAGCAGTTTGATTGGCTGCTCTGTTCTGGAATGAGTAGTATGTTTGCGTTCTATCTATGAAGTCCTGGGTTCTACCCCCAGTAGGATCAATGGATTTGCTCTGGGGATGCAACATAACCGGACCAAAACAGCTGTCCAGTGATTCCTTGCATTTCAACACGCACGCTTGATTTACACGACGAATTATTATTACGTATGATTTTTGAAGGCACACAAAAGTATACCTCATCAGCCTGGTGATGTCATCTGTTGGACAAGCAAACGGAATCAGATCCGAAAAGAATAAGCCATCCGGGATACAACACTGGGAATAACTAACCATCGGGTCAGTTAAGCTCAGAGTATATGCATCCTTGCTGTTGGCTGAAGCTGTTCTATTTGACCAGTCAATCATTTGGACGTCAGTGGAAGTTGATGAGAGCGATGCACGTCTGTCTGTCTGTCTGTCGGTGTGTCCGTGGCTGGTTGTAACTGATGGTTCACTCAATTGTGAAGGGGTTAGATAAAACAAAAGTGGAATTAATATTGAGGAAATCTGTTTCACACTCTGTGTACAACGACCGTCAGCAGCAGCAGCAGCAGTAGCAGCACTATCACCATC